TTGCTTTTGATCTGCAGGTTAATATATCTTCGCGCTTGTTTAGAGTAATATTGGATTTAGATGAGAAGAGTTGCAATGTGCTTCTCACTGTCACAGTTTCCTCGATGTAGAGTTCCTATATTGACTAATTCATGGTGGCAAAGTTTCCATCATATAAGTAGGATTGGTAGGGGAAGCATTAGCTCCAAGGTTCTTGCCACTGGTAAACAGGGTCTGGAAGGTAGATTTAATAGTATTGAGAATAGACGGACTCTAACTACAAAAAGTGAAGGGAATGGTAAGGCTGCCTTTAGTAAAAAAACAACTATCAGACACGAAATATTGGACAAAACAAAAAAATCTGAAGTAGACATATATAGTTCAGAAATAACTGAAATAGGAAGTACACAATATGTTGATATTCGACAAACAATTGCTGAAAACAAAGACTTGGCCAAACTCATGACTTTTATCATTTTTGATATTGAGACCACTGGGCTTAGCAGAGATCATGAAAGAATCATTGAGATTGCATTGCGGGATCTTCATGGGGGTGAAAACAGCACATTCCAGACATTAGTCAATCCTGGATGTATTGTCCCAAATTCATTTGTCCATAAAATTACCACCGGTATGGTCAACAGGCCTGATGTCCCCAGGTAATTATGATAAATATTGTTAGTTTGTTTCACATGCTTCTGCTTCTTCTCTCTCTCTGTATCTTGACTTCTCTTCGTAGAATCCTATATGAGATTATCTACAACTTAATTTTTCTAAATAACCAGTTGAGTTATTGAAAGAATATTTTTGTCAGTCGCATATTAGGTATTGTACTGATATTTGAATGTGATATGTATAAATATAACTAAATGGTAATTTGATGCTTTCATTGTTTTTCTCTTATAAGCATACTTCTTGGCAAAATTTGTACATTACATGTAATTGTTAGGGTTCATATGCTAATGTGTTTTGCCATTTACTTAACGGGTGGGCTTGTATGTCATAATGCATGTGTTTTACTCATTAATATATTTAATTTCCTATGCTAAGACAGGACCATTATTTGAGAAGAGAATTATGTAGACATATTATGAATACCTTGATGAATTACTCTCTAGATGAAGTTATATGCTTTCATTGTTGCCCTGCTTTTAACCATGGATTTATATGTTGATAATAGTTATGACAATCTTATAAGCATACTGAACTTACTGTTGTGAGAATAAATGGCCTTAAATTGCTTGGCTGAAAAAAGTAGTGTAGCACACTAGAAAACATCAATTTACCCCAATCTATCTCGAGACTGTATAACTCTCTTTATGACAGTGGTGTTAAAATGAATTGATAGCTCACAGCATGTTCTGCCCAAATACCAGTAGAACAAGTCATAAATATTGTTTCTATAGTGTTATATCTTTTCTTCCTTAACTTGTTATATTTCATAGGGTATCTGTTTACTCTTATGAACAATATTTGGTAAAATCACGTCGTCAAAATAAAACAAAACCTGGTTGTGCAACTTCAATCATGAATAGCTAATGCAGTGGAATTAATTTTCTTTAGGGCTTGTTTGGAAACCACTGTATGATTACTAGGATGTATAATTGCACATCCAAGTAATTACACAATATGGTAAATCGTAAATACAATGATATGTTTGTTTGCCTTGGCATAATTACAGTATGAGTCTTAGTATCATGTTTGATTGCACAAGTGTAATTACATAGTTGGATATTAGTATTCTCTCCTTGGAGATGTACGTGAAGAACAATCTTTTGACTAAATTATTGAAGAGCCAAGAAAGTCAAGTGGCATAACAGGACACAACTATTAACACATATGTTGAACGGCCTGTTTCGTGGTGGAAAATGTGTATTCTGTTACCCTTTGGTTTGGAATAAATTCCGTCTTCTTATAACGCATGTGAAAAATATCCATCTTTGGCATCACATTTGTTTAGCAGAGAAGATTGTGATATTTTCTGATATAAGAAAAATTTATTTTTATATGTTATATCTTATTCTTGAAATTGGTGTTATCTTGCTCTCACACTCTGCTTTGCATATATCAGGATGGGGGACCTCATTCCGATCTTGTTGAGGTATGTAGGAAGTCGCCAGAAACCTGGTGGATATGTGGTGTTGGTTGCGCATAATGCTCGCTGTTTTGATGTTCCTTTTCTAATTAAGGAATTCAGTAGATGCTCTTTTGATATTCCCTCAAATTGGCTGTTCGTTGATACTCTTCCTTTGGCGCGTAAAGTCATGAAGTCTGGAGGTCTTTCTACTTGTTTAAATTTTTGTATTTGTTTCAAAAGCTTCCTTTGCGTTGGATGTCTCTATCTTGATATTTTTACTTTTTTTTCCATTTAGGGTCAAAGCCAAAACTCAAATTGCAAGACCTTGGTGAACACTATGAGATCCCTTTAGTTGGTTCTGCTCATAGAGCCATGGCGGATGTGCACATGTTAACAGCAGTTTTTCAACGGCTGACTTTCGACTTGAAGTTAACAATCCCTTCTCTTATCGAAGGGCATTCCTTTTGGCCATCGGAAGTAGGAAGGTCAAAGAAGAAGAAGAATTCTGGCTAAACATAGACTTTGTAAGAATACTTAGATTGTTGAAATAGTCAGGTGTAACATTCTTTTTAGAGAAGTTATTACTGTAAGCAAGTTGTAGAATTAGCTAATTCTTCCATTAAAATGGCTGGTCATAACATATGATATTTGCCAGTCTTGTATTTTTAACTTCTCTCCAGTCTTGTATTTTAACTTCTCTTTCCTTACTTAGGAATTTGAAAATTCCTGTTCAATATTGAAAGCTGTCTTTCAACTGTGATTTTTTATACTTTATGGAACTCAAAAAGACACCGAAAAAGGCACTAAAATGACATCATTTTGACCATCTTCTTTCTTTATATTGAAGAGACCTTAGTACTAGTCTTTTATGATCCTTCGCATTAGTACTAGTTTTTGGAGTTTCCGCCCTTTGCTTTCGGTAGGCGGTAAAATAGTAAATAAATAAATGCAAACAACTAAATCGAAATGAAGAAAAAATGCTCTCGTCCCATTATTACTAGTTTTAGAGTTTCCGCCTTTGCTTTCGGTAGAGGTAAATCATATCATATTATTATTATTATTATTAAGTAGGAAGCTTTTATCTTAAAAGTTGAATTACCATTTAACCCCTCCATCAAATTAAAATAAATTTATTTATTTTTTAAATACTAATATTTAATTACATAGCACTTTAATTTTTTAGTTATGACATTATAATTATAATTAATTAGGTTGAATTAAATTAGAGTAGAAAACAATAATGTATGGAACTCTTTGAATTTTGAAATTAATATAAATTTATCTATCATGAAACAATAATGTATGGAACTCTTCAAATTTTGTGATTCTTTGAATTTTGAAACTAAAATAAATTTATCTATCATGATTCAATGTGCAACATTAAAATTTTTTGATAGGTGAAAAAACAATTTAATATCACTATAAATACCAGTTAATTGCTTCTTAGGTCATCACATTCTTTACTTTTCTATCATCTCGTATTCTCTTTTTTATCTTCTAAGATTTATAATATGAATACAAGTTGTTAAGAAGCTAACCGAGGAGAACAAATAGTTTCATTCTGAAATTAAAAGAGAAGCTTTCTTAGAATATAATTCAACTCTTAAACTTAATAGTATAAGATTTGATTTATATTTTTCTTTAGATCTTTTTTATATTAGATTACAATTTTATGTTTTTCTTTTTCATTTTAGAGTTACGGTATGTTGTCCAAAATGGATTGGTAGCAACCCATATTTTTATGTAATTATGTATTATTTTGCATTGTTATGAAAAGAAAAACTCTTTATTTTCGTGTTATTATACTTTAAATGTTATTTAGTTATAAAATTTCTATTGATATGTGATGAGATCGATAATATTGATATGCAAAATATGCTTTTGTTTAAATAGAAGCAATTTAAACAAATACATAATAGTGATGTTAAGGGAAATATTTCTCTCTCTATATATATAAAATAATGCTCTCGTTGAGAGTCGAACTCAAGACCTCCCGCTTACTAAACGGGTGCTCTAACCAACTGAGCTACGAGAGCTGACGATGTTAACAATTAGTCATTTCTATTTTTAATCAATTAACAACCCTTCAGCGCCTTACATCGACTTGATGTCTATGAATCGAGAAGCAAAAATTAATCCAAAATGTAGTGCATGAGATTTTGAACATAGAACAGTAAGTTGAATTTTGGACTCCTGAGTCAACATCTAGTCTTGTATTCATATATAATTTGAACTTACGATATTTTTAATAATGGAGTTCGAATAAACACCCTCGCCTCTTCCTAGATCCACCCTTAAACAATATCACTATGTATTTGGAGGGAGACCTAATGTGGATATTTTTTGACGATTAAAGTCCACAAATATAAAGAATTGATAATTTGAGAGAGTGAATTACAGGAAATCAAATTCTTTCTTTTGGTGTATTTGAGTGGTTGAATAGTTTATAAGCATAGTGTTGAACTCCAAATTTTCGAAAGAAATATTAATACTTATAAAATAGTAAAATGTGAGAAAGCCAAGGGCATCCCAATATATTTATAAGGTATTAGCTATATAGACATTGTAAACTTGCAGCGAAGTGGTGTCAATGGTATTTTATTTAATCAAAATTTCAGTACACCAAAAATAAAGGTCTTCATTTGCATGTAATAACAGATTAAGATAAACAGCTATACTGTAATCTGTAGGAGCCGCATTGCATTGGATACCTGTCATTGGTGCTGCGAGGAAGCTGTACCAGTCTATTTTGTTAGTTTACATTTATCTTCTTGTAATTTTTTTCATAAATACAACATTTGGGATATAAGACTAATATCATTTTCTATCATCATATATAATATCACATGTCAACAATATAGAGCTTCTATTTTTTAAAAAAAGGAAGAAAGAAAAAGGTAGAATATGAACAAATAATAAAGATAAAATAGCTAAAACATGAACATTGAAAGTGTAAAATCATCTGTAGCATCTCAATTAAAAATGAAGGGCCACAAATACAGAATACGTTGTATCCTCCTCATGCATATAATGTGAAGTCAGCGAAACTACAAAATTCTCCAGGGATAAAGAATATGTATTATGATCTCTACCAATAGCATCGGTGTATAACAGTCGATGCTCTATACAGGATCCCTGGAGATCTATCAACTTCCTCTGACTATAATACAAACCCTCCGCAGTCCTCACTAACAATACAGATACAATAAAATGTAGTAGCAGAAAAATGATATGGAGCTAGCTCATTGGATTCCTCCACTTCTCGCACATGTGTTGGCTTGCTTCACCATGTAGCGTTGTGAGAAACAATACTATGCAAAGTTTATAGATAATACTTTCAGAAATCAGAATATTATCTCCTTCAAAATTAATAGGACTAGCATTATAAAGCACATGATAACTAGAACTGTTGCACACATGACCATTCCACCTCGCTTCTGACTTCGTTCAGCCTGCAATTCAATTAAGCCCAACATAACATTAAATGAAATGACCGCCTTGACAAAGAAAAAAACAATAAATCAAATGACAGATGACTGCAAAGATGGGAATTTCTGTGAATTAGAATGGCAATGGAGAAAGCAAAGTGAGACCTTCTTTAGTTGTTTAAGGCCGTCCTCAACTGTTGATGCAACATTTTGAATATTGTGGTCTATCCTATCGACGATAGTACCCTGTATTAGACATAAGTTCAGTACACCAAAAACCCGTGCTGAAGCAGAACTTGGTGAATATGAAAAGGTGTTGTAAGTTCAAACCTGGTCTATCACCAGAACTGATAGATCTTTCATAATTTGGGCAAGGTCGTTCACTGATTCAACCACCTAACATATAAGCACATGGAGGCTAAGACACAAAACAATGATATGCACATTTCAGAAAACCACAAGCAGCAAAGAAATATCACCTGCTGTATTTCTCTCTCTCTTTCAACAGTGAATGCCTCACTTTTCTTTAGCTTGGCCATCTGATGCTCATTAAATCCCTGGACAGAAATTTGGTGCAGTCAAAATTTTCTTGTGAGATAAACTCTTAAAAGGTATCTCACAAAACCATTCTTCAAAGGCAGGAAGCTATTTTAAGGATGTAAGACCAAACACCCTCCAACCACAGCCATAAAAGATAACGAGATTCCAAAATGAGATATTTCAATCATACAAATATCATAAAAGACTTAAGATCTATTGCCAAAAGGAACTGATGTTAAAACAACAACTTGTGATTTTTCTTTACTCCTTATGCAATCACCTGAGTTAGTACCTTCAGCTCGTATCCGAATTAATCAACTCATGTCTGTTCACTTGCAACAATAATATAAATGGTTGTGTAATTCTCATTCATGTCTAACAATGTAGTGCATTTTAATGGTAATACTCCGTTTTACTTTTGCTGATCATAGTATAGATATTACCAAAACAAAGTCACCTGACTATTACATACACCTCTTTCCTGATTTCATTTGCAGGATCCCGAGTAGAAGAAATAAAATTTATATGTAATAGAAATTGCATACCAAGTCATCCAAATCATCGTCATCCCTTCTAGAATGGCTCCCATTTAAGTTCATCTCCAAGTCAACTCCATCTGGACCCTACATGAAAAAGCACATTTGAGGAAACCTACCAAATATATATTTCAGGAATCCCCCATTTCCTTAAAAAGCAGGGAGCATGCTGATTAATCATCCATAAAATTAATTGTATACATGAACATTTGAACTAACATGCATTAGACAGCACAGCTACGCATACGGGATGCCATAATATAGTACTTTGAGTCATGCAATCTCAACAGCAAATAAAACTGACTCCTGTTAATACCTTCTGGAAACAGATTGTGGCTCAAAATATAAACTATTTGTGCATACCTCTTTCTGCTGCTGAAGCCTCTTCAAATAAGTAGACTGTTTTCTGCGAAGCTCCATTGATAGGCTTTGAAGATCTGTAGCAAGAGAGCGCTGTCATAGGAATATCACAATGTAAGCACAAATGCAATATGCAATTGTTGTAATCAGATTTATAGCAGAATCAAACTGAAAATGTAGTTCAAAAAACATTCGTTACTAATGAGATTAAATAGAGCATAGGAAGACACTTTATTAGCCATGCCCTTATCAAAGTTCTTAAAAATAGAACACCTCATTTCTTTGTGAAGTTCCCATGTTTACTCCCTTTTCCCAAATCAAATAGACCCAATTTGGTCATTGTTTAAGAGTAACACATTGGTATACATAATTATACTAAGTTTGGTAAAAAAAGCATTAAATATATTAATGAAATGTAAAAGTGATGAAGTTGTTGAAAAAGATGCCCCCGTCAAGTTTTAAATAATATAAAATAATGATAATTCATATTAGTTTGAATCTGTTTGATATTATTGACAACGTCTCATTCTAAAACTAGGTGGGATCAGAAATATGAATCTCTATAGCTAGTCTGCTCTATTAGGGTGTTCAAATGATGCATTATGGAGTATTATTTATTTGATGAAAAAAGATTCACGATATTATGCTATTTTGGGGTTTATCGTCAATTTACTGCAGCTTTTTTTCCTTTATTATGATTACAACAACAATTATGCCCCAATCTTAAGCAAGTCGGCATTGGCAATATGAATCCTGATTGTCCATGCCACAACATTAAATATGACCATGTGTTTAAGTTGCGAGGAAGAGAAATTTTCCATCTAAGGGAAGAGATAGAACTCTTTGGGACTGAAAAAAAAAGGAACATCAGTTTTACTCGGGCAGAGGGTGTAAAAGTTAAAAGTCTTGGAAGACAACTTATGGATTCCAGCTTGAGAATGAAAAGGAAGTCCTACAAACTACTACTTACCGGTGTGTTATAAAGGAATCAGTTAATAAGCATATAGCTGGATGTACAGAATCCTCAGACCCTACAACCTCATATTTTGGTGGGACGGAGGAAAGAAAATAAAGGAAAACAAGTAGAACAAATGCATTCAGGCTATAAGTTAAAATAAAATTAGAAAGCACAATGGTTTTATAGTCGTGAAGGCTCACCTGTACATTTTTCCTGACATTTGAATCCTCGGAAAGCCCAGCTGCAGAAAGTCTTTGTAATTTCTTTTCTGATCTTTTGAGAAGATCAGTTATTTCATGGGTAAGAGCCTCAATACGACGTTGATCTTCCTTACCATCTCCAAATGATGGCATTAAAGCCTTAGCATGAGCTTTGGCTAGTTCAGACATCTTTGTCCGGACCCGATGAACATTAGCCGTGATTTCATCTGACAAGTCCACCCAAGCTGGCGGTAGACCTACTGTAACTGGTCCATTACTGCAGCAGGGGAACAACATGTAATCCAGAGTAGGGGAAACCATAAAGGACATCCATATGATCTAGGAAATATAAACTTGATACAAAGAAATCTTAATTCATAATCTTCGTTTGATCGTTTCCAAGAAGTGGCACACATAGGAACATCAAATAGTTGATCAATGGTCACATCTGGTGATAATGCTACAGTATGATACCAAGAAAGCCAAGTCAACCACTGTTTCATCCAATTAAGGATAACAGCCCGCTCAAGGATTTCCCGTTAGGAAGTATGTAAAGAAAACAAGATACTAAGATCTAAGAAGGCTGCCAAATTGAAAACAATGCACAAGAGATTTAAATAAAAAGAATTTCTTTTTCAAAAGTATAATATGACAACTGACATGGTCCTCAATATTTATGTTTTACATATTGACTTGGTATCTCTCTTCAAATCTTTGCAGTTACAGCTTTACAGGTATAATAAGCACCAGAATTTCTCTATGTTTCTCTTCTTCTTCTTTTTTTCCAAAAAGCCTGCAGTAAGCTTTAGTCGAAGATAGACTTTTAAATGCACGGAAAATGGGAGAACACCAATTTAAGGATTCAACCACCATAGTAACATAGGAAGATCAACAAACTGGACTTCACTCTTGTAGATCACATTTGGACTCTAATCGGCGGGGCCAAGGGAAGTTGCAGGTGATGCCCATAACTTCCTCAATAATGACATACCAGAACCAGGTTCCATTTCCATGTCAAATGTGCAGAAATTTCGTAGAATTAACAAATCGGATGATCCCCAAGAAACGAATGAACTAAATATAAGGCAACCACACAACTCATATAAGAAACAATTTTATATGACATGTTACCGTTCCAAAGAAAACATTTAATTGGTCAAATAAGAAACTCTGATGTGATTTTGCCAGGGAAATAAGATATAAAGAATTAAACTTGCTAAATAAAGACGGTCATATTTTTCCTGTAGCAAATTGCAGCACATTCAGCTGATCAAGTTAATTATCAGAATTTCACCTGAGTAAATTCGACAAATTATCCTCCTAACATGAATATGATTAAGCAAACATCATTTGAATGAATATGGAATTGCATCAGTACACTCATCACTTCAATAAACTCTCATAGGAATAAGAATTTGAAACATGATTAAACAATTAAAATACAATTCGTAGCTAGCAACTTGGACTTGGTAATTTCAATCATCTGTCATCTAATAGTCGAGCTCCCTATCGGTTATCATAACAAAAGGAATTCGACAAATAAGTTCTCAATGTCATCCGTCAAAGTTACTTCCAGATTCTGAGCTAGCATAATATGTCCCTAACCTTATAATTAAATATTCGGGAATAAATTCAGAAACAATAATTGAAAATGCAAGGACCTATATAAAAAACCTGGAGGTTCCGGGGTCTTCCGTACTGAGAGGAGCATAAGATCGATTAGGATTAAGCAAAGAAGTCGTTGCCAATTCGATCACCGGCCCACTACCATGTCCGGATGACGTGGACGTCGAAGAGCCCGCCGGGATCCGAACACTTCTCAACGCATCTCTATACTTCCTAAACACAAGCGTTCTATTTCTGCTCGCCATTAACGTTTTCTATACAGAAATCCAATAAAATGGAGGAATAAATTGCGCCCAGCGTCCTACAGATAAGTGATTCCACTTGTGCTTAGATCTGAGATCTCTTGATCGGAGATCGGCGAAATGGATTCTCCGGTAATGATGGAGTTGTGCAGGAATTAGAAAACGAGTTCCAATCTTTCAAGCTAAGTTTGAGAAAGATGAACCGAACCGGAAGGGCACTTTGGGTAAAGTGTGGGTCCATGCCTTTATGTAGTTTACATGAAATTGTAAGTGCAATAAATAAAATAAGAATAGAGAGAGAAAAAAAAAAACTAACATCAACAATAATATATATATATGACAATAATTTCAATATAAATTAGATGATATCAATGTACATATTTATAAATAATATATAATATCAATCCCCTAATATTATGATAATAAGCGTGTCAAATATTATTATAAATTTGCTATTTATGAAAAGTTGCTACAGTTTGATTGAGTGATAAAATATTTATTTTTTCAATTGTATCAACTCTTTGAGACAAATTAAAACTATATATATATAAAGAATGTGAGAAGAAAAATACATCTTTATGTGTTCAATTAGTACTAATAGTCTCTTAATATCATAATATTTATACACTTTTTGTCCTATTTTTTTAATATTCATTTTAACCATAATTTTATGTATAACTGTTTAATCATGTTTTTGTATATTAAGTAGACACAATAACTTTATGTATGAAATTTTGAGGGAAAAATGCATTGTATCGTTTGGTAGAAATATTATTGCAATTACATTAAGAACCCACTTTTGATTATCTAAATACACCATTTTACTGTTGATATATGATATCGCAAGAAAATAATTTCCATCATATTGTGCGCTCAAATTAACGTGATGAATTTTCAGATTTTAAATTTTAAAAATACAAGTTTGATTACAAATCAAAAGGGATGAAATTGTCATTAAATTTGTCTTTTTTTTTTATTAAAATCAAGAGGTTCATCACATTGATTTTACATGCACTGATACAAGGGTAGATTTTTAGTTTAATTGTAATAATATTTTTATTAAATAGAATAAAATATTCTCTTCTCACATTCTCTCGTGTAGAATTGTTATTTATTCTAAACGTATGAAAAATGATTAAATATTTCATACATTGTTAAAAATAAGTAAAAATTGAGAGAGGATTAAAAATGAACTAATATTATGATTAAGAAACTATTAATTTTGGTCTTAATCCAAAAACAAGAGACTATCTTCAAAATAAGTTAAAAGAACTTTGTAATTTTGGAGGTCAAATAAATAAATAAGGAATAATGTTTCCAAAATGATTAATTAAAATAAAACAAAAAGACATAAAAAAAAAAAGGGGTGTGTGGAAGACAAGTCTCGTCTTTTTTTTTTTGGTGGAATTTCACATTTTCACCTGCTTTAAGCCTAAAGGCCTCGCTACCTCCTCTTCATCATCTGCTTCTTCTTCTTCTTCTTCTTATACATCATCTTCATTGATTCGTCGTCGTTTTCTCACACCTAAATCGCACTCTTCTCTCTTCGTTCGACAAATCACTCACTCTCTCTCTCTTTCTCTACACCGACACTCCTTACAATTCATAATTTTATCAACTCATCATTCTTAGGGTTTGTGAACGAACGATTGAGTCGAATTGATACTTGAATTTCACTGTTTCAAATCAGAAGTTAGATCTTAATCTGTGAGGATTCAAAAGTAAAGTGAAGCAAATATGGATGCTGATTCATGGAGTGCTCGTCTATCTTCTGCTTCCAGGCGCTATCAATCTGCTTTTCAGTCTCGATCTGGTAAGTTTTTCCCTTTATCTGTTACAAGTTTCGGGTTTTTTTTAGGATTAAAGATTGGATTTTTATGCGGTTAATGTTGGTGTAGGAATGAAATGGGAGAATCTTGAGGCGGAAATGTTGATGGGTTTTGAGGAACTAGACGTGGATGATGATATAAGAGAAGAGTTCCCTTGCTGCTTTTGTTCAGAGTATTTTGATATTGTTGGTTTATGTTGCCATATTGATGATGAGCATCCTGTTGAGGCTAAGAATGGGGTAGCGCTCTCTTTTCTCTTCAGTTGTTGTATGGTTCATATCCTTTGCTGTCTCTATGGTGTAGACAAATTGGACATTTTGTTGTTTTACACTTAAATTATCAGGAATGTGTTGAAGTTGAACTGCTTTTCACCTGTTGGAAGATAGTTGATTGTTTTAGTTTACTAGCTGAAATTTCAAGTTATGATGGCATGATTTATCACAGTTGCCTTTGATGGTCTTACATTTATGCTTATGTGTGTGTCTGTCTCTGAATCTTTCTGGAGGAGTGTTGGTGCTTGGGTGGGGTAGAATCCCTCTGAACTTGTTGTATGATAGTTTTCTCCTATCTGGACTGTTGTTCTCATTTGCTGATATGAGTACTCTCTCAAGAACATCTGATTTATATGGAAGCAATTTTTAGAACTATTCCTCACAATTGCCTTCTCTGTGTAGGTTTGTCCGGTTTGCGCTATGAGGGTGGGCGTTGACATGGTTGCACATATTACCTTACAACATGGGAATATCTTCAAAATATCCTTTATCCAGTATCTTAATATCATTTTTTGTATTCATTATTGAGTAGTACCCTTTTGGTAGTTCTTTTATTTGTATACAGCGATGTCTTGTGCAAAAATGTCACTTAACATGAACATAGGAGATGGATTTTTTGATAAGTTGGGTATAACTATCACAATTCCAAGCTTTGAAAGTTTCTCCAGATGTTTAGAACTTTTTTTTGCTATCATTAATTGGAGTGAGACGTCCTCCACCGGTGGATAATGTCAAACTCTTCCATTATCCAAAAAAAAAAGAAAATTCCTTTCTCGAGTGTGTTCAATTAAGCTCCTGAATCAAGATGGTTGACTGTTTAAGTAACTTTCTGGGGCTTTGGCCATTCGATGCAAGCTCTTAATTGGTATTCTTTTTTGTAGGTTTCTGTATGTCAGTTTCTTTTAGGGGCCTTTAAGATGAGGTTCTCTGTGGTTTGGTGCTCACTGTTTTCTTCTCCTGGAAGAGTTGAAAATCTGCCCTCAATTTCTGATACCTTTCTCAGCCTTTTGGCTAAGATCAACTATTTGAAATTTGACGTAATTTTTTTGGGGCATTTTAAGTTATTTTAAACCTTTGGGCATTTGAAAGCAAGCTGCTAAATCCCTCTAATTTAAAGGAATTTTCCATCTAAACTTCACTATCAAAGTGCACCTTCACATACATCTTTGACTCGTCTCAGTGACATACAATTTTACGTTTTCATTCCATGTCAATCTGTTAGAACTTTCTGGGCATGCTTTAGTATTTGTCATTTATCATGGTCCTGGAACCCAAGGATCATTTTCTTGTACACAGAATGAAAGCACTCAAGATGCAGGTCTTTTGAAAGCTGATACTCTTGCTTAGGTTGCGTAGCTTCATAGTTGTGATCAGTGACAAGACTAGTTTTACTTCCTTTTCTTTCTGGAGGTAAGGAGTTAACCTAGGGGTTGTCTTTGTGATCCAAAACATGATAAAAGGCTGATCAACATAGCGTCTAGGGAGTTCTATTACTTTTCAAAATCCTGACATCATGAGAAAAAGAGGAACTAAAGTTTCCAATGCATTCTGGCTAATCTGTTTATTTTCTTATAATGCCTTGTGGTTCCTTGTTCATTATCATACGGAAGAGTTAGATAATAATTAAATATTATCATGTTCATTTGTTAATTTATCAGTTGGTTAGTATTGAAATTTGGAGTAGAATTGTAGAGATCAGAGGTAAAATTTGGGGTTAAGGGAAGGTTGAATCATGTTGGTAATGATGTCCCTTCATGTTTTGCGGAGGCCATAATCTCTATTTGCTCCTCTCATCTTCTTCCCTTATGTTGTCAAATTCTATATTCGTGATGGAGTGTGACAATAAGGGACTCCAATTAGCTATTTTGAGTTCCTTGACTTCAGCTTACATGCAGCGCAAGAGGAAATCTCGCAGACCTGGTTCTCATTCAACACTTTCCTTATTAAGGAAGGAACTACGTGAAGGAAATTTGCAGTCTCTATTTGGAGGGTCTTCATGTGTAGTTCCCTCAACTAGTACTGCGCCAGACCCCTTGTTGTCATCATTCATTTTGCCAATGGGTGATGATTTCAAGAGTGCTCAAACATGTTCTCCTGCTGAAACAATCTCAGCCAAGAAAAGCTCAGTAGTAACTGCCTCAGAAAGGTATGTATTTTGTTCCTTTTCTGTGCTCTGGTACAGTAGCTTCTTGTAAAGACTTGTATAGAGATGCTACCAACTTGTATAATTAAGAGAAAACCGTTTAGATCTTTCACAATAGGACCTTGTACTAAATGTTTACCTATAAGAACATGTCTGCCCAAGCTTCAGGGGTTTAGCTCAATCAGCAAAGGTTGAGAGACTTGTGAGTTGTGACTTAGGCAACATGTTTGAGCCCTGCAGCAAGTGAACTAAGTCTGGTATTTAAGTGAAGGTAGAGGGGCAGACCCATTATCCCAGAGTTTTGATGGAAGTAGTTGGAGCCTGGAGATTTGACTTTTGACTGTGATACCCCACCCTTGGTGGTAGCTTTAGAATAGAAGTCACCTGTGGTACTTGTGGAAAGACTGGGCGAACACCTTTAACTTCTGGGTGAAGTGCTTAGGGCTTTGACCATAAGTACCTGGTTCTTTTGTTCCAAGCTGTATGTCATCAACCTTTTGATTAGGTACAGCCGTACATGTATTGTGGTTAGTCCTACTTTTTTAGAAGAACAAACACAAGTGATCTAACATTAATTTGTTTTAGTCGTCCTGGTAATTTAAGGTAGGAATGGGAATAAAAACCAGAAAAAAGGAGACCGATTTCAGTTCTTCGGTATTCGGTTTTAGGGTCCTGAAACCAATTTCTTTGTCATGAGAGGAAGCAAGAGTGAGAGCTTTGAACTGGCACTCAATTCATGAGAGAAGAAGCGTGACTTCCTTGAAGAGTTTTGACAGTTCCTAGAAATCTGTCTCACTCTCTCTCTATCTATATGCTCCTCTCATTTTCATTTGATTAATGCAAGAGAAGAGGAAGGAAGAGTGGTGAGTAGAAGCAGCAGTATGCAATGACTATTTATACTAAGAGCAAAGGAAAAGGAGATTCTAAAAGCAGCTTCTTTATTTTTTCTACGTCATCGATCATCATCGTCAGTGAACGAGGACATAGTTCTGCATTTCCGTTTCCACAT